ATATTCATATCCCAGGAAAAATCTAGTCTCGATATATACACATAAATTATGAAGTAAGAAAGCTCTTTGATAAAGTTTTGCAAAAGTTGGTCAAGCTCTAAGGTCAAGGTCAAGTTTGGCGAAATTTAGAGAAAGGTCTTGTCACAAGGAATACACAGGTAAAATATGAAAGCCATTGTTTATAAACCAATCAGTAATTCAATATAGACAAGGTTAAAAATTTTTAGCTCCATTTCAATAACAGCCAAATTGAATAAATATATTATTGTATGAAATAATCTGTTCAATTGACCATTAATGTCGTCCATGATATTTTTCCTTCATTCATACCATTATTATATGTATTATATGTATTTTTCTTTTTTTCTATTTCATTTTCATTTTCTGAGTAAGTATATCATGCTCTTGTACTTCTGACCTGAATTTATATGCTGTTAAAATATTTTTCATTGTCCTCATGTATCATATATTTTAAATGGTTTTGAGTAAGTACATAAAGTTGAACTTGAAAATCACAAATTTACCTTAGAAATAACCAATGCATCACTGGGTTAGATGGGCATTAAAAGTCGCTCTCTAGCACCTTTAATAGGCCAGGGTCCTCCCTCAAACTATTTCTGGTCAGCTGACCGCACCTTTCCAGAGGTCAAGTTAGCTTAGTGTGCAACCTCATTTATATACATGTACATTCTACATGTACCACACGTGACTATATAATACGATCACGTTCAGTTTGGTCTTTAACCATGTCCTCTTTTTGTTATAAAAAAATTGGAGAGACGACTATATGGAGCAAAAGAGATCAAAAGTTTTGATTTAATTTTGAAATCATTCATTTGCAAGATTGTATGATATACTACTAGATTAAACGTTTTTAATATTAAAATGAGAGAAAACAAAATGAATGTACACATATTCCTTAATACACACTGAGTATATTTAAAAAAAAAGTGCGTCATGAAAATAAATAAGTAGATCAAACTTCAAGGTCAAGGTCACGAGGTCAAAAATCATAGTATACATGTACTTAAAAAGGACATGTCACAGGTAATACACATCTTTATTATAAAAGTCATATCTTTTCTAATTCAAAATTTATGATCAATTCAAGGTAATGATTCATTTTTATACCCCCGCATACGAATTTTTTTTTTTGGGGGGGGGGGGTATATAGGAATCACCATGTCCGTCTGTCCGTCTGTCTAGCCGTCCGTTTGTCCGTCCGTCTAGCTGTCTAGCTGTCTGTGCAAACGTGTCTAGGCCGTATCTTTCTTACGGAGGAACATTAGAATCCCCTACTCCACACAAAGATTTCCCATGACCTAAGGGTGTGTCATGACCTTGACCCAATGTCATTTGAGGAAGTTCAAGCTCACTGGAAGAAAAAATTCCTAATTCGTGTCCGGTCCATATCTTTTTTATGGATAAACTTGGTAGGTTCTAATTTCACACAAAGATTGCTCATAACCTATGCCATGGCCTTGATCCAAGGTCATTGGGGAAGTTCAAGGTCACTGGAAGAAAAGTTTCATAATTTGTGTCCGGTCCATATCTTTCTTATGGATATACTAGGTAGGTTCCCTTTTTACACAAAGATTCCTCCTGACCTAAAGATGTGTCATTTTTTTGATCCAAGGTCATTTGGGGAAGTTCAAGGTCACTGAAAGAAAAATTTCATAATTTGTGTCCGGTCCATATCTTTCTTATGGATAAATTTGGTAGGTTCTCATTTCAAACAAAGATTTCTCCTGACCTTAGGATGTGTCATGACTTTGGGTCAAGGTCATTTTGGGAAGTTGTAGGTCGCTGAAAGAAGAATTTCATAATTTGTGTCCGGTCCATATCTTTCTTATGGATAAAGTTGGTAAGTTCTCATTTAACACAAAGATTGCTCATGACCTAAGGATGTGTCATGACCATGGGTCAAGGTCATTTGGGGAAGTTCAGGGTCACTGGAAGAAAAATTTTATAATTTGTGTCCGGTCCATTTCTTTCTTTATTATGGAAAAACTTAAATTTACTACCTCACACAAACATTGCTTATGACCTGAGGTTGTGTCATGACTTTGAACCAAGGTCATTTATGCAAGTTCAAGGTCACTGACGGAAAAAGTTCATGATTCGTGTCTGGTCCGTATATTTAGTCTATTTTTTTATTAGGCTGCGCCTTCGTTTCATTTAAGAAAAATGTAACGAGCCTTTCCCTATACACTAAAAATGTTTTAGCATTTCTCTCTTCTCTTAGATCCATAAAATATTCATGATTTAGCACTTCTGAAAAACCCAGCGGGGGGTATTTTGTCCCGTTTGGACAATTCTAGTTTTTCAAAAGGAGGTCAAGCTTCAAGGTCATGGGGTCAAAAATCATAATGTTTTTAGAACGGTCTTGTCACAGATAATACATACATTCGTAAAATGAAAGCCCTATCTCTTCTCATTCAAAAGATGTGACCAGGTGAAAGAACGGACAGAACTACACACTGACAGACAAATGAGATTTAATGTCCTCTTGCTTGAAATCGCAAAAGCGAGGGACAAAAACAAATCAAGGTCAACTCAACATCAGCATAATGCTATATATATATATATTTTTTGTATAGAAGAATGTTTACGTTTAAGACACATAACAAAAACCGTAAATAAATCAAGTTGTTGAAAGGGTGCTTGACCTTTTTGTACTTAAAACCACAGCAATAAGATCCATACTACTCTAATTGACGCATACAAGGGTTATTATTATAAAGTTGCGGACTTCTGTCATAACTTTTTTTGACTTAACCTCTCATTGCGTCATTTCATATACATCTTACTGTTCATTATTTACAAACATATCATCCGAATTGTGGAAATTGTTTTATAACAATAAATTCAAATAATACATGTATTAAATAAGATATACTTGAACAATTCATTATTAATTTAAAACTCGTTCAGATCTAAAAGCTGCGAAAATGAGATTGCAGAGCAGGTAAAATATATTAATTTGCAAGAATTACACCATATATTGTCTGTAAACTCCTTAAAAGTGTTCATACGAAAGACATGCTATTTTCTATAAAAAGCTTTCGGGGGGGGGGGGGGGGGGGCTATGAGCACATGTAAATTTTAAGCGGGTAGTACCTCTCTTTCTGAGAATATTTAGTTTTTTTGCAGTAGTTGTAATGAAAAACTTGGTGCCGCGTAACTCTGAGGAGAATAGGGACAATAACCGAGGCTCGTATCTGTGAGTAACCTCCTCCCCACATTTAGTTGCAGTTCTGTCGAAATCTGACAAATTCCAGCATATAACAAAATATCATTGGTCTGAAAAGGTTTTTATTTTAAGTTTTAATAAAGATAAATATGAAAATGTGAATTATAATGAAGATGCTTGGTGAAAATATTTTAAAAACAATAAGATCAAAGATTTAATGAAAAGAAAATGCAAATCTTTACTCAACCTCACTAATCTTAACATCGAATGTTCTTCCGAGAAAATAAATGTATTTTTAAGAAGGCCCTTTTGAACTTCATCTGGTTGTTAATTTCGAAGGACCTTTATTTCACTTTTGTAGATATATATATAAATGTATATATACAGAGAGAGAGACTTATTTGTATAATATATCTTAGAATTACGCCAGTCTGCACCTCAGTAAAAACTGTAATTAAGTGACGTAATTATAGGGAGACACCCACCTGAGAAAATTTGCAGACGTTTCTTAGGGACGAAAATGTATTAGTTTATTTTATCATAGCACAAATTATATGATATGTAATCATGGGAAATATCAAACTTCAATACGTGGGCCGAAAAAAAGTTATAATCATACTTTGATATACCGGATATACTAATGTAAGAAATGAAATAAACGAAGGCCAGAGGGTCTTAATGGTCACCTGAGAATAACCATCTCTCTAAGTAAATATGAAAAATAGTTAACAAAAATAAGGCTTGCATAAATCTCTTCATAAATTTGACCATTCAAATATTAACGTAAATAAATAGAAAACGGGAATAACTTTTTCACAGTAGAACACAAAATTAAAGAACCCTGCCATTAACAGAAGAGATAAACTACAGATACTGTAATCGAGCAATGAGCTCACTAAATGACACCCCCGCCTCCCATGTGAATATAATTGCAGTGTCCATGTATTGTTATGTGGAACCCAAAATATGTGTCGGATCAAAAAGTAAAAGAGGAGGTGCAAAATGGCAATATGTAATAAAGATTCTGTGAAAGTATCATCTTTCATTCAATGGTACATGTATGAGAGAAGTTGGTGATAAGAGATGGGTACCCCAAAGAGTAACAGACGGACGGACGAACAGACGGACGGCTAGACGGACGCACGGACATCTCAATTACTGTACATCTTCCTACTTTTCAAGCGGAGGTATAAATATACAGATGTTCGTCCCACACATTATCCATTGGCATCCCCAAGAAAAGTTAAAACTATAGGTACTATGAGCAATGAGCTCTCTAAATGATACCCCCACCTCATCTATGAATACAATGGCAGTGTCCATGTTTTGCTATTAGAAAATATGTGACGGATCAAAAAGTACTAGATCAAGCTTTGTTACAGGTATAGATCCCTTGCCCTCTCTATATTGTTTTACGGTAATGTATAAAGAGGAATAACTCTTGGTGTCCCTTGTTATTCAGAAGCCACCACACCACGCCGTAGGCAAGAATATAATGACAGTGTCCACGTTTTGCTACAGGAAACCAAAATATGTGTCGTATCAAAAAGTAAAATAGGAGTTGCACAATGAAATAATGTAATAAAGATTCTCTGAAAGTTTCATCAAATTTCATCTAGTGGCATAAGAGGAGTTACGGACAAGAGATGGGTATCCCAAAAGCGTAACAGACGGATGGACGTATACCTAGACGGACAGACGTACAGGCAGATAGATGGACAAACAATTCATCACTATATACCCCCTCCCCAACTATATAACCCCTCCCCCTGCTTTTCAAGTGGGGATATAATAAGTCATTAAGGAAATGTGGCAAGGCACATGCGAGGAAGTCCTAGGCAGAAGAAAGACTCAGCACAAGGAGTGGATCTCTGGTGATATCATGAAGAAAGTGGAAGAGAAGAAGGAAAAGAAAGCGGTGCTAAATACAAGCAGGACAAGATCAGCAAAGACAAAAGCTCAAGAGGGCTACACAGTCACAGATAAACAGATAAAGAAGATAAGAAAAACGTTAGGAAAGATAAAAGGGATTACATCGACAACCTGCGCAAACAAGCTGAAGAAGCTGCAGGACAAGGATATATGAAAAAACTGTATACGACCACAATGAAGCTCTCTAACAAGTTCCAGCAAAAAGACAAACTGGTGAATGACAAGAACGGAAAAACTCTCACAACAACAGAACAATAGAAGAGGTGGGTAGAAAACTTCGGAGAACTATCAAATACTCTGTAGACCAACACCAGAAACACCTCCGGACAATCAACCAGCCAATACAGACCTCCCGATCAACTGTGACAAGCCAACAAAGACAGAGATCAGGAGAGCAATAAATAAACTTCAAAGTAGAAAAGCGGCAAGACCTGATGAGATACCAGCAGAATCCATCAAAGCTGATATAGAGACAGTAATTAACATCCTATACAACCTCGTCAACAAGATCTTGGAAGAAGAGAACATCCCGGAAGAAAGGAAAGAAGGTATCCTTATTAAGATGCCAAAGAAGGGAGATCTGAGGGATTGTAGTAATTACCTGGAGATCATGCTCCAGGAACAATGGTATACACCTGTACAGTGGACACTCCTGACGCAACTCGACGATCTTGATTTTGCAGACGACCTGGCTCTCCTTTCAAACAGCCAAAGCAAGATGCAGGATAAAACAACCCACATTGCAACACCATCGACAGGAACGGGCCTCATAATCAACGTGAAGAAAACAGAGTTGATGAAGATAAACACCACTGTCTAAACATCAGTCATAGTTGGTGGTGTGCCCATCAAAGAAGTTGAGTCCTTCATCTACATGGGGATTGTGGTGGACCGCGACATCAAGTCAAGTTTTGGCAAGGCAAGAACTGTACTAAACATGTTAAAGAACATCTGGGCCTCAAAGAACACACGTATTACTACCAAACTGCGGATACTGAACAATTGTAAGGTGCAGAGACGTGGAGGATGACTAAAGCTACCCTGCAGAAGATTCAGATATTCTACAACACCTTTCTTATGCGCATCTTCAACATCCAATGGCCTGAAAGAATCTCCAATGAAAAACTATGGAAGAGAGCAGGAAAGGAACCAATGGACTTAAAAATAAGACAAAGGAAGTGGGGCTAGATTGGACACTCACTAAGGAAGTCACCATCCAGCATAACACACCAGGCCCTGACTTGGAACCCACAGGGCAAATAAAAAGAAGACGTCTTAGAAACACCTGGAGGCGTGACTCAGAGTCGGAGCTAAAGACGCAGGACATTACCTAGCAGGATGCAGCTAGAGCAGCTCAGAATCGAGTTCGTTGGAGGACTGTCGTCGATGGCGTACTGAGTATGTTCCTAACGGAAGGAAAGGCCTAAGTAAGTAAGTAAGTATAATAAGTCACGTTTACAATGAAGAAAACAACGAAGAAAGAATATATAATTATTATGTTCCCCAAACGAAGTTGGGGAACATATTGTTTTTACTCTGTTTCTTATTATTATGTTCCCCAAACGAAGTTGGGGAACATATTGTTTTTATCTGTTTCTTATTATTATTATTATTTTTCTTCTTCTTCTTCCTGGAACTTTTTTGTCCGGGAATGATCTTGTAAACTGTTCGTCCGATGTAGGTAAAACCTTTTTAGGGTTAGTAGACATGTTATGTAGATTTGCGGAATCAAGGTCATTTTGCGAGCACGTGCTTGCAAGAGCGTGCACGTGCAACACGTGGAATGACCAATATAATAGATATAGCCACAACTTTTCTTTTTTTAGATGAAATGCTTTGAAACTGATAATGTGAGGATATATTAGTAGTATAGACATTACGACATGGTGAAAATAGCAAGATCTCACGCGCATGCACGTGCACTTCGCTCTGATTGGCTGCAACTAAAGTCTCAATATCTTTCTTGTTTATTGACGAATTCCTTTGAAATTTTGAACATAGCCATGCATTAGGATATTCTACAACATGATATAAAGCAATAATCATGAAAACACGTGCATGCAAGTGCGCTGCAATCTGATTGGCTGAAAACTTAAACAGCTATAACTCCCTTGGTTTTCAACCAAACAGGATGGGATTTGGAACATAGATAGATTTAATGGACTTCTACAAGTAGGTATGGTCACCATGCACATGCATACACGTGCGTGTACATGTGCTGCAATCTGATTGACTGAAACTTTAACTGCTATAACTCCCTTAGTTTTCACCCAAACGGGGCGGAATTTAGAACATAGATAGATGTAATGGACTTCTACAAGAAGGTATGGTCACCATGCTCATGTATGCACGTGCGTGCACGTGAAATGAGTAAAATCAAACAAACACTTGAATGAGCGTATTTTTAAAATAATTTTGGATTAAATACATTAATATTCAGTGTATTAAAAATATAGATTGTGTAGACAAGATGATATGATCATGACGCAAATGCATTCACATGTGCACGCGTGCAATGCTAAAGTTTAAATGATTTTTGTATACTTCTTTGTAAATGTTGTTAAAATCTCAGATGCATAGAGTTTGTCTTATTTAATGAAGCTTACAGGGAATATGACACTAAAAGGGAGTTGGGGAGCGTTTGGGGAACATCTGTAACGGTCCCCGTTACAATTAGCACTAGTTCTTTTTTTTCTTCTTTGTTCTCCGGTACTTTTTTTGTCCGCGAGTGTTCTCAGAAACTGTTCACCCAACTTAGCTAAAACCTTTTTAGGGTTAATAGGTGTGTAGTGTAGGTGTGCAACACGAAGGTTATTTTGCGCGCATACGCATGCACGTGCGGGCGCGTGAAATGAGTGAAATGACGGATATACTTTATATAGCCATAACTTTAACATTTTTTGATGAAATATTTTAAAACTCATTTAATAAGGATATATTAATAGTGTAGATAATGTGACACTGTCAAATTAGCACGAACTCACGCGCATGCACGTGCGCTTCGCTCCGATTGGCTGAAACAAAAATCTCAATATCTTTTCTATTTTTTGACGAAATGCTATGAAATTTAAAATATAGGCATACTTTAGGATGTACTACAATTTGATATATAACAATTGTCATGTAAACACGCGCATGCACGTGCGCTGCAATCTGATTGGTTTAAACTTTAAATGGCTATAACTCCCTTGTTTTTCAACGAAACAGCATGGGATTTAGAACATAGACAAACATAATAGACTCCCACAAGGAGGTATGGTCGCCATGCACATGCATGCACGTGCATGCACGTGCATGCACGTGTGCTTTGCTGTGATTCGCTGAAACAAAAATCGCAATATCTTTTGTTAATTTTTGACGAAATGCTTTAAAATTTTAAACATAATCATGCATTAGGATGCCCTACAATATGATATATAACAGTTGTCGTGAAAACATGCGCATACACGTGCGCTGCAATCTGATTGGCTTAAACTTAAAATGGCTATAACTTCCTCGTTTTTCAACCAAACAGGATGGGATTTAGAACATAGACAAACATAACAGACCCCTACAAGAAGATACAGTCAACATGCACATGCATGCACGTGTGTGCACGTGAAATGATTAAAATTACAAAAACTCTAGATTAAACGTATTTTTTAATACTTTTGGATAAAACGCTGTAATTTCTAGTATATAAATAGTGTAGACAAGATGATATAGTCATTACGCACATGCATTCAAATGCGCATGCGTGCAATGCATAAATTTGAATATACTGAATATAATTCTGGGAAAACATTGTTATAGTCTATAAGGCATAGAGTTCGTCTTATTTAATGAAGCTTACAGGGAATAAGGCACCAAAAGGGAGTTGGGGAGCGTTTGGGGAACATCTGTAACGGTTCCCGTTACAATTAGCCCTAGTTATTATTCTTATTATTATTTTTCTTCTCGGGAAAATTTTGTCCGCGAATGATCTTGTAAACTACACATCCGATTAAGGGGAAACCTTTTTAGGGTAAGTAGGCATGTTATGTAGATTTGCGGAACGAAGGTCATTTTGCGCGCACGTGCTTGCAAGAGCGCGCACGTGCAACACGTGAAATGACCAATATACTTGAAATTGCCGTAACTTTTACATTTTTTGATGTAATGCTTTGAAATTTAGAATATATAGACATATTATAAATGTAGATAAGATGACATTGTCAACATGCCATTTTGCGCGCACGTGCTTGCAAGAGTGCGCACGTGCAACACGTGAAATGACCAATATAATGGATATAGCCGTAACTTTTCTATTTTTTGATGAATTCTTTTGAAATTTATAATGTAAGGATATATTAGTAGCGTAGACAAGACGACCTAGTCAAAATAGCAAGATCTTACGCGCATGCACGTGCGCTTCGTTCTGATTGGCTGAAAATAAAGTTTCAATATCTTTCTTGTTGTTTTACAAAATCCTTTGAAATTTTGAACATAGCCATGCATTAGGATATCCTACAAAATGGTATATAGCAATTATCAGGAAAACACGTGCATGCACGTGCGCTGCAATCTGATTGGCTGAAACTTTAAACATCTATAACTCCCTTGATTTTCAACCAAACAGGATGGAATTTGGAACATAGATAGATATTATGGACTTCTACAAGGAAGTAAAGTCACCATGCACATGCTTACACGTGCGTGTACGTGCACTGTAATTTGATTGGCTTAAACTTTAAACAGTTATAACTCCCTTGGTTTACAACCAAACGGGGTGGGATTTAGAACATAGATAGATTTAATGGACTTCTACAAGAAGGTATGGTCACCATGCTCATGTATATGCACGTGCGTGCACGTGAAAAGAGTAAAAAATAAAAAAAATACACTTGAATGAGCGTATTCTTTAACACTTTTGGATTAAATACTTTAATTTTTAGTATATTAAAATACATAGATTGTGTAGACAAGATGATATGGTCATTACGCACATGCATTCACATGCGCACGCGTGCAATGCTTAAATTTGAATGAACTTTGTACACTTCTGGGTAAACGTTGTTCAAGTCTTAAATGCATAGAGTTTGTCCTTTTTAATGAAGCCTCCAGGGAATATGGCACCAAAGACGAATTGGGGAGCGTTTGGGGAACATCTGTAACGGTCCCCGTTACAATTAGAACTAGTTTATAGTGTTTTAAGTGAGTAATCGGACATAGTAAAATGACAACACGAAAATATTCCGATATCTTCCAGTGTTTTAGATATCTATTTTAGAAAAACTTTAAGCATTTGTTAGAGTACATATCAAACTTACTTTTTGATACATGGAATGTTGCTGTATGTGCAAAATTGACGTCTCTACAGAGGTTTTTCTGCAGATTCACGCGTGATTCGGATTTGTTGCATTGTAAAAGTATGTCGACTGTTTCAAGTACGATAACGAAACCGAACTGACGGCAAAAAATCAACAACAACAAAATCAGCACATATTTCAAACACTCATAAGTAAGCCTCTTACCATAAGTATCAATATTTTTTTTTACACCTTTGAATTTATTAATTATCAGTTCTTTAATTGATAATTATTTGGAACTGGTCAAAATTCGGAACTGACCAAACGACTGTACAAGTGTTCCAGCATACACGTTTGGACATTGACAAGAATTTTGAACAGAATTTATCTAATTTTAATTTATCAATACGCACAATATTGTAAGGTGACATGAACTGCATTGTCTCAAGCCACCAAGCATTAATTTTCTCATAATTGTCGTATACATACATGTATATATATAACACTCCAGGCACATAGCATTGGGGGGGGGGGTATTTTCTATACTTAACTT